GTAGCTTATTATTTAATTGATGACACAGCCTATGGTAACTTATTATTTAATTGATGACACAGCCTATAGTAATTTATGATTTAATTGATGACACAGCGTATGGTAGCTTATTATTTAATTGATGACACAGCCTATGGTAACTTATTTTTTAATTGATGACACAGCCTATAGTAATTTATCATTTAATTGATAACACAGCCTATAGTAATTTATTATTTAATTGATGGCACAGCCTATAGTAATTTATTATTTAATTGATGAAACAGCCTATAGTAATTTATTATTTAATTGATGAAACAGCCTATAGTAATTTATTATTTAATTGATGACACAGCCTATGGTAGCTTATTATTTAATTGATGACACAGCCTATGGTAACTTATCTAAATGATGATACATACTTTAGTAATTTAGTTGACGACATAGCTCTCAGTAACTTATTTAATTGATGACACAGCCTTCAATAACTTATTTCATTGATGACACAGACAATGGTTACTTATTTAAACAAGAGGCCCAATGGGCTACATCGCTCACCTGGTATTAATCTCACACTTGTCATCTTAAAAGTGGACTAAAATACAGCTACAGGCAGAATATCAGGGTTTGATTCATAAGAAGCTATTAAAAGAATTAAACATATGATGCCTGTGACCTTTAATGTTGAAAAAGGACATTAGGTTGGAAAGAGTTTATAGTCTTCCAACCCAGCATGCTTCTGGCAAAATATCATTACCCTGGACCTTTTGGTTATACAGAACAAATCATTTAAAGATTTAAACATATATTGACCACTGTGACCTTGAATATGGGTGAAGGTTATTCACTGTAGTCCTTCATCCCAGCATGTTAATATGGCCAAATATCATCACCCTTGGCCTTTTGCTTATTAAGAAGAAATCGTTTAAAGTTTTTTTAATATATTTGACCCCTGTGACCTTGAATATATGTCAAGGTCATTCATTTGAACACAAACTTGGTAGTCCTTCATCCCAGCATATTACTAGCATTCCTAGGCCTCTAGGTTATTCATCAGAAGTTGTTCAAAGGTTTAAAACATATTTGACCCCTGTGACCTTGAAAAAAGATGAAGGTCATTCATTTGAACAAATTTTATAGCCCTTCATCCCAGCATGCTACTAGCCAAATATCATCACCTTGTACCTCTTGCTTATTCAGAAGAAGTTGTTAAAAGGTTTTTTCATTTGGACAAACTCGGTAGTCCTTTATTCCAGCATGCTACTGGCGAAATATCACAATCATCCTAGGCATTTTGGTTATTCAGAAGAAGTTGTATTACAAGTTTTTAACATATTTGACCCCTGTGACCTTGAATATAAGTCAAGTTCATTCATTTGAACAAACTTGGTAGTCCTTCATCCTAGCATGTAACAGACCCAATATCAGTACCCTGGGCCTTCTGGTTATTGAGAAGTTGTCTGAAGATTTTAACATCTTTGACCCCTGTGACCTAGAAAGTTGGTCAAGGTAATTAATTTGAACAAACTTGGTAGTCCTTTATCCCAGCATGCTACAGGCCCAATTTCCGTACCCTTGGTCTTTTGGTTATTGAGAAGTGGTTTGAAGATTTTACGATATTTGACCCCTGTGACCTTTAAAGTTAGTCAAGGTCATTAATTTGAACAAACTTGTTAGTTTTTTATCCAAGCATACTACAGGCCAAATTTCAGTACCCTGGGCCTCTTGGTTATTGAGAAGAAGTTGTTTGAAGATTTAAGGACATTTGACCCCTGTGACCTTAAAAGTTGGTCGAGGTCATTCATTAGAACAAACTTGGTAGCCCTTCATCCCAGCATGCTACAGGCCCAATATCAGTACCCTGGGCCTTTGGGTTATTGAGAAGTTATTTTAAGATTTTAAGATATTTGACCCCTGTGACCTTTAAAGTGGGTCAAGGTCATTCATTTGTACAAACTTGTTAGTTTTTTATCCAAGCATACTACAGGCCCAATTTCAGTACCCTGGGCCTCTTGGTTATTGAGAAGAAGTTGTTTGAAGGTTTTAAGACATTTGACCCCTGTGACCTTAAAAGTGGGTCGAGGTCATATTAGAACAAACTTGGTAGCCCTTCATCCCAGCATGCTACAGGCCCAATATCAGTACCCTGGGCCTTTTGGTTATTGAGAAGAGGTTGTTTGAAGATTTTAACATATTTGATCCATGTGACCTTGAAAAAAGGTCAAGGTCATTCATTTTAACAAACTAGGTAGCCCTTCATCCTAGCATGATACAGGTTCAATATCAGTACCCTAGGCCTTTTGGTTATTTAGAAGAAGCTGTTAAAAGTAAAATTTTGCTCAAAATGACACAGCCTTCAGAACTTTATTTAAATGATGACACAGACTATGGTAACTTATTAAAATGGTCACACAGACTTCAGTTACTTATTTAATTAGTGACACATCCTTCAGTTACTTATTCAATTGATGACACGGCCTATGGAAACTTATTAAATTGATGACACAGACTTAAATATCTTAGTTAATTGATGGCACAGCCTTCAGTAACTTATTCAATTGATGACACACACTATGGTAACTTTTTTAATTGATGACACAGCATTCAGTTTTTTATCTAATTGAGGACACAGCCTTCAGTAACTTATATAAACGATAACACATACTATGGTTACCTATTTCATTGATGACACGTACAGCCGTCACTCACTTATTTCATTAATGACACCTCCTATGGTTACTTATTTAATTGATGACAGATTCATCAGTAACCTTTTCAATTGATGACACAGACTATGGTAAAAATAATAATTGATGACACAGCATTCAGTTTTTTTATTTAATTGATGACAGATTCATCAGTAACTTATTTAATTGATGACACAGACTATGGTTACTTTTTTAATTGATGACAAAGCATTCAGTTTTTTAATTTAATTGATGACACAGACTTCAGTAACTTATTTAATGACACAGCCTACAGTAACTTATTTAATTGATGACACAGACTATGGTAACTTATTTAAATGATGACACAGACTATCGTAACTTATTTCAATGATGGCACAGACTTTAGTAATTTATTTAGATGATGACACAGACTTCAGTCATTTATTTAATTGATGACACAGACTATGGTAACTTATTTAATTGTGACACAGGCTATGGTTACGTATTTAATTGATGACACAGCCTTCAGTAACTTATTCAATTGATGACACAGCCTATGGTTACTTATTAAAATGATGGCACAGACTATAGTAACTTATTTTATTGATGACATAGACTATATTTACTTTTTTAAATGATGACACAGCCTATGGTTACTTATTTGATTGATGAAATAGACTATGGCAACTTATTTAATTGTTGACACAGCCTATATTTACTTATTTAAATGATGACACAGCCTATATTTACTTACTTAAATGATGACACAGCCTATGGTTACTTACTTAATTGATGGCAATTATTGGTCATGTATTTACTTGTTTCAGTTTGCATGGCATTCTATTACTTTTGAAACATAAAACATTCATTTAACTATGATTGTTAATTTTTAATTATTTGACAGACCGGGAAACCTTATTTTGCTATATCTGCCTGAAAATTCTGAACAATGTATACCACAAAAGAAATTCCAGTTCGTCACATCTTTCTGTGTACAAAAGTGCACCATGAACTCTAGTCTTAGTTTTTTTCTCTCTTTTTTTGTTTGTTCATTATTTACTATCAACTATATACCACAACTCAAACTAGTATATAGATAAGGTAAACAAAACAACTTACCTGTACACTCGATCTCTGTTATTCAACTTATTGCACGGCAATATTTCCCCGGGCACAAAGTGAGGTTTAACTCAAAAGACACTTGGAGTACTGTTGCAATTCACGGAAGTTGAGTTTTCATACTTATTTAAAACAAAAACAAACAAAAACACGAGCACATGGAATTGGGACTGGCTAATCCATGGACGATATGGGGGAACACTCCCGAGATAGCAGGCGAGCAGACGACAGCTGATCACAGGGATGCACATAACAGTCACAGCCTGGGAAAGGTACACGGGAGTACTATATTTGGTAGAGCAACTACGCAGTCACAGTGTGGGACGCTATATCAGACTTCTTCATTTGCCTGATGTAGATGTAAAGTAAAACAATAGATGAAAAGGTGGAAAACAAGAGATGATGAGGAGGCAAAGAAGAAAATCATGGAGATCCATGATAAGTGAAAAATTGAGGATAAAGAAGAGGATAAAATAGAGTCAGAGAAGGAAGGTATAGACGTAGATAAAAAGAAGCAGGGGAGGGTGAGGACGGTAAGGAGGAGGATCAAAGCAGAGGACGGTGAGGAGGGGGATCGAAGCAGAGGACGGTGAGGAGGGGGATCGAAGGTGTGGATGAAGCTAGGAACATGGAGGACTGCATGGTAGGTGTAGAGGAAAATAAGGAGGAAGAGGACTGCATGGTAGATGAAGGTAGGAATGTAGAGGACTGGTAAGTGTAGAGGGAGATAGGGAGGCAGAGGACTGGAAGGTGTAGAGGAAGATCGGGAGGTTGAGGACTAGAGGGTGTAGAGGAAGATAAGGAGGTAGAGGACTGGAGGGTGTAGAGGAAAATAAGGAGGGAGAGGACTGGAAGGTGTAGATGAAGGTAGGGAGGTAGAGGACTGGAAGGTGTAGATGAAGATAGGGAAGTAGAGGACTGGAGGGTGTAGAGGAAAATAAGGAGTTAGAGGACTGGGGGGAGTGGAGGAAGATAGGGAGATAGAGGACTGGAGGGTGTAAATGAAGATAAGGAGGCAGATGACTTGAAAGTGTAGAGGAAGATAGGGAGGTAGAAGACTGGAAGGTGTAGATGAAGATAGGGAGGTAGAGGACTGGAAGGTGTAGAGGAAGATAAGGAGGCAGAGGACTGGAAGGTGCAGAGGAAGATAAGGAGGCAGAGGACTGGAAGGTGTTGATGAAGATAGGGAAGTAGAGGACTGGAAGGTGTAGAGGAAGATCGGGAGGGTGAGGACTAGAGGGTGTAGAGGAAGATAAGGAGGTAGAGGACGGGAAGGTGAAGAGGAAGGTAGGGAGGTATATGACTGGAAGGTGTAGAGGAAGATCGGGAGGCAGAGGACTGGAGGGTGTAGAGGAAAATAAGGAGGGAGAGGACTGGAAGGTGTAGATGAAGGTAGGGAGGTAGAGGACTGGAAGGTGTAGAGGAAAATAGGGAGGGAGAGGACTGGAAGGTGTAGAGGAAGATAGGGAGGTAGAGGACTGGTAGGTGTAGAGGAAGATAAGGAGGCAGAGGACTGGAGGGTGTAGAGGAAAATAAGGAGGTAGAGGACTGGAAGGTGTAGATGAAGGTAGGGAGGTTTATGACGGGAAGGTGTAGAGGAAGATTGGGATGAAGAGGACTGGAGGGTGTAGATGAAGATAGGGAGGTAGAGGACTGGAGGGTATAGAGGAAGATACGGAGGTAGAGGACTAGAGGGAGTGGAGGAAGATAGGGAGGTAGAGGACTGAAGGGTGTAGAGAAGATAGGGAAATAGAGGACTGGAGGATGTAGATGAAGATAGGGAGGTAGAGGACTGAAAGTGTAGAGGAAGATAAGGAGGTAGAGGACTGGAGGATGTAGAGGAAGATAAGGAGGTATCAGGACTGGAAGGTGTAGAGGGAGATAGGGAGGTAGAGGACTGGAAGGTGTAGAGGAAGATAGGGAGGTAGAGGACTGGAAGGTGTGGAGGAAGATAAGGAGGCAGAGGACTGGAAGGTGTAGATGAAGATAGGGAGGTAGAGGACTGGAGGGAGTGGAGGAAGATAGGGAGTTAGAGGACTGGAGGGTGTAGAGGAAGATAGGGAGGTAGAGGACTGGAGGGTATAGAGGAAGATAGGGAGGTAGAAGACTGGAAGGTGTAGATGAAGATAAGGAGGCAGATGACTTGAAAGTGTAGATGAAGATAGGAAGGCAGAGGACTGGAAGGTGTAGAGGAAGATAGGGAGGTAGAGGACTGGAAGGTGTAGAGGAAGATAGGGAGGTAGAGGACTGGAGGGTGTACAGGAAGATAGGGAGGTAAAGGGCTGGAGGATGTAGAGGAAGATAAGGAGGTATCAGGACTGGAAGGTGTAGAGGAAGATAAGGAGGTAGATGACTGGAGGGTGTAGAGGAAGATAGGGAGGTAAAGGGCTGGAGGATGTAGAGGAAGATAAGGAGGTATCAGGAGTGGAAGGTGTAGAGGAAGATAAGGAGGTAGAGTACTGGAAGGTGTCTGGAAGGTGTAGAGGAAGATGAGATAAGTAGAGAGATTGAGCTAAACGGAAAAAGGAAACCAGACAGACAGAAAAGGTGATGGAAGAGAATGCAGAAGAGGTCAGGGGTCAGACGAGCAAAGAAGAAGTGTTGTGGGAAGTGATGTGGAGGACAGAGAGGCAGAGGTACATCTGTATGCAGCGGTCACACCTGTCTTGTTCTTCTTAATTTGATAAATGGTATGATGTATTTAACTCAATTTGAAAAGTGAATTCGATCCAATTATATTTGGTAAACATAAGATCATTCCATTAGTGTTAAAGCATCTGGTTTTCTCTTTCTCATAGTTGTGGTTTTGCTGAAATATGACTTTCAGTAGCAGACTGCCCTCTTCCTTTTGGTACTGGTGTGTAAAACATGGATGCTCCCTTTTCTATCAATTACGAACCTCAACATTTGTGCCAGACTATTTAACATATTGACACATGGCTGTTAATGATCTATGTATTCAGGAAATAACAGGAAATTATCGGAACTGCACACATGCATGTAACCACAATGATATATTAAATACAAGGAATTTCAAGTCAGTCATTCAAGCAAGAGCCTGCTGTATGTCTTCAATCTTTTGAAGTTCTACAAGAATTTGAACTCATGCCTCAAACAGTTTATTGTGCTAAGCTTTGAAGATATGCAGTCTTCCTTCATTTGAAGTTGAAGCTTACAATGTTGTTATAACTCAAGTTAAAAGTCTATTTTGAGAGTTTTCTTTCCTTCAGAGCCTTAATACCCACTTCACAACTCATCACCTGAGAAATGCAGTGGTATGGGTGTCTGCCATGGACTTATGTCTAACATGGGGAACTGTATATATACCAATAAATACCCCTCTATCAGCTAAACATGAATTCTGACATGTCATGACCATACTCTAAGACTATTCGTTTCTTTGGTTATTTACGGTACCCTAACGTATAAACACCCCAACCATAGACTGTATGTCTGCCTGGTTATTTACCGTATCCTAACATTTAAACACCCTATAATAGACTGTATGTCTGTCTGGTTATCTACCGTACCCTTACATATAAACAGCCCACCATAGACTGTATGTCTGTCTGGTTATTTACTGTACCCTGACATATAAACACCCTCCCATAGACTGTATGTCTCTCTTGTTATCTACCGTACCGTTAGATATAAATACCCCACCATAGACTGTGTGTCTGTCTGGTTATTAACCATACCCTAACAAATAAACACCCCACCATTGACCGTGTACTGTCTGTCTGGTTATTTACTGTACCCTTACAAATAAACGCCCCACCATAGACTGTATGTGTGTCTAGTTATTTACCGTACCCTTACATATAAACACCCCACCATAGACTGTATGTCTGTCTGGTTATTTACTGTACCCTAACATATAAACACCCCACCATTGACTGTATGTCTTTCTGGTTATTTACTGTACCCTAACATATAAACACCCCACCATTGACCGTGTGTCTGTCTGGTTATTTACTGTACCCTTACAAATAAACGCCCCACCATAGACTGTATGTGTGTCTAGTTATTTACCGTACCCTAACATATATTACTCAATAAATATAACATGTTTGTTTCTATAAAGATAATAATATTTTTGATTTATTGTAAATTAAATTGTATCTGATAGTGTACCTTTTCCGGAATAAGTAACCCGATTTTGTGTATAGTTAGTGTTGCCTAGTCCTATGTGCCTAAAACGCTTACATTCAGCGACCCTTTGAGAACCGTTAAGCCGCAAGCGTTTAATTGATCGTGACTCCACCCACACAATCAACACCGATGAGCGTATTGTGTACAAGTTTGAGAGTGTGTCGCCTCCTCCCCCGCCTCCACCGTAAGTAGAATGTTTATGACGTTTTTTAGGCCTACGATATTTATTTTCACGGAATTGTTAATGAAGAAGGCGGATATGGTCTTTTTCTAATTTGTTCTGGAACAATCAGTTTAGTTGGTTATTTGCAAGTTGTTCGTAAAATCAAGAAGAAAATATTGAGCAATAGGCCTACTTGCTCTCGCTCAGATGATACGTGGCATATCATGCATGTGGATATTAGTGGCTAAATATGTGATAAGTTTCTAGCTTTACTATGACACTCACAGGGATAAGACCATGTATTAGTGCTCTCGGAGAGCCTGATTTTTTTTATAACACTTACGCGAAACCTTGTGCATTTTTAGAAAGCTAATCAATGTACTTTACCACCTTTCATTACCGAGTTACTGAAACATATCACCAAACACCACAATCGATAATTATAATGATCTGATGATAGACCTTGAGATCAGTTCCCATAGTTACAGTTTTCTGTTTCTATGGAGTCAGCATCGGGTGATTGCTGGTGGATAAGCGTGGATTATTGATTACCTATATATTTACACAGTAGCTATACCAGTATTGTCTCTGTAAAGCTTATATATGAACAGTAACGTGCAACATTGATTGGTGTAGTCCTAGAGGTTCTCTCACAAATCACAAAAATGTCCTGTCTCGGGACAGCCTTGAAAGTTATTGATTCTGGTAGACAAGTGTTGAGAGATTAAACAATCTACTCTGTGCTAATGATTAATTAAATGTGTGATGTTCTCATAACAGATTTAATTGACGAAACACAAAAGAGAAGAATAGTCAGGTGCTAATAATCTTTATTTAACATCGTGAACAACAAACACTCTGCAGGGCTTTTATTAAGACGACGCTAAGGGAACAAACATTGTATTCGTGCCAGGTGGAGGGGAAACCACTGTGCCATCGGAGAGATACCGACTAACACGTTCAGACACCACTCTCTTTTTCTGCCACCGCTGAGGAACAAACTGGAATTCTTGGGAGAGTGAGTGGCCTGATGCACACGCTTGATTGCACACAGTAAAAAGGACTGCATGTTAGCAAAATCACGGCTACTACCAAGGCACATTCATGATCTGGTCCCTGTAGAATGATCAGACTTGATAAGATGTCAAATGTCTGTGGTACTGTTTGTACATTTAGACAAACACAAAAAAAGTAATCAGGAAAACAGTTTGTTCAGAACCTTTGAAAGAGTTAACCTAACCACTTTGTTTTTTCAGACTTCTAATTACACGTATATGAATAGCTGCAGAGGAATACCTGAGTAATATTTGCTTGATTTACCTGTTACAGATTTTTTACCTCTGAGAACCATGGCATCCTCCCGGTACCGACCTTTAGTGGTCAGTGGCCCTTCAGGAAGTGGAAAGAGTACGCTCCTCAATAAAATGTTTGCAGAATTTCCCGACAGTTTCGCCTTTAGTGTATCACGTAAGTATATACTGTACAAATTGTGATTTCCTACCCATTACAACATCATAATTAAATATTATTATACACAGACACTGAGACAGCTAGAGATAAATTTCAAAATTTATGACGTGAAGACTCCAAACATATATAATAAGGAATAATCTAAATTTCATGTTAAAACCTTTAGGCTGTATTCCTTGTACGATATTAGGATTTTGCTTTCTTTAATATCTCCCATCAGCACATCATCATGGTTCAGGTCCTGTGTTCAGAAGATCAATTGAGCCCTGCCTTTCATGTTTAAATCAGGTTACTGATCATGTTTAGATAAGATTATTGAGCACAAACTACCCTTCTATTACAGAACAGAAATTTCACTGCTGAGGGGGAAAATGGATTGAATAACCACTTATTGTCTTTTGAGTGATTGATTTTACAAACATGGAGGTGATCAATATCACTGCTGCTGTATATAATACCTAGGTAGTTGAATATTTGTTGTTTGAATTGCTGATTGTTAAGTAAAACAAGTTTGTTCTTGTTTCCAGACACTACAAGAAATCCACGCCCAGGAGAGGTGGAAGGAAAAGGTACAATCTTAGGATTTTTCACAAAAATTTGCATTTTTCAAATAGTGTCCTTTTTTTTAAAATCTGACTTCCAATAGCATGGTGTTTGTCATGATCACAAGCGAATAGAAAATGCTTGAAGTAAAACGGTCAATAATATTTTGAATTTCAAATCAGCAAAAGAATATATGTTGTTTTCAGAAAGGTTTATAACAAATCATGGTTTATGATGCTATAAACAGAATCTTAAATTAGTGTCTGTTTCATACGAAACTTGTCACAAATCATTTGACATTTTTTAGTTTTAACAGATGCTCACTAAAATGAATAATTCTTAAGACTTGTTTCATGAATCTCATGAAATGGAACCTCATACATATATATGAGCCAAGTGTGACAGGGTAGATAACTCCACAAATTACACGATTTGATGTTAAAAACAAACTCATTTTATTCAAGGAAAAGGGTGACTGGATCAATTTTCTATGAATACAGAAAGAATACACATATATATGAGATAAACTATATTCATATCATGAATCAATGCCATGATTAGATTTGAATATTGCCCCAATTTAAAAAAAAATATATTGTTCCTCATTATTTAACATTGATTTCCCGCAGACTACCATTATGTACAACGAGAACAATTTGAAAAAATGATTGAGGATGGTGGGTTTTTAGAGCATGCTCAGTTCTCAGGAAACAGATATGGAACAAGGTATGTTTTACAAATCTATTTTCTTTGTCAATTTTTGTTCATCAGATGTGAGATTTCAGATTATTGAATAGGCCAGAGGGTAAATACTACTAAATAGTCTTTGTTCAAAATAGTAATGTATGATTAATTTTTTTGAAGCCCTTATAAATTTGCCAGTTTTGCAAGGTACACTGAAATTATACTGGGTGTCCCATATCAGTACATCAATGTTTTTACACTTTAGGAGATTAAAATGAAGATCGTTATAAAACCAAACATGTCTGAAAGTCAGTCTGCATTTTCACCAGACACATCAACAGAATGTCACATAATCATTTGTACCACGTCATATATAAAAAATCATAAAGTTGCAAAACCGAACATACTTTCAAAATGAAATTCTGAATTATAGTGGTGCATGGCACATCATACATAAACAACCAACGAATATCACTTTGAAAGGTTGATTAGAAATAGTAAATTATCTAGATATGCAATTAAAAGTGCAATGTATTACTTTTTGTTTTCATATAAAGCTTGTCTTTCCGTATAAATGAACATTGTGAAATATTAATAACCAGCGTTGAGTCTTGCATATTGCATCAAACTAAGGGAATTGTTACTTACAGATTCTCTATTTACAAGGAGCTAAATGACACCTCGGTATACACCCCAGTAGAATAGAGGATGCTAATGGTTTATGGGATGTCCACTGTAAAACTTTCTAATAATTTACGGAAAAAATCTTGTTTCAGCCAACAGGCGGTGTTGGACATTGAGAAAACCGGAAGGATTTGTATACTAGACGTGGAAATCAACGGTGTAAAGAACATCAAGAAAACAGACCTAAACCCTAGATATGTGTTCCTTAAGCCACCTAGTATGGAAGTTCTAGTAAGACCTTTTCTTAATGTTGATCTTAAACATTCCTAAAATTGAAATTGTATATCTTTAAAGTGATTTTTTTTGCTCAGTTTTACTGCCGAATACAGACTGTTTCCCCTAGCTAAAAAGTGCCTTATTTTCCCAAAATGACCAAAAAACTGGGGAATTTATTCCCAATTTCAATAAAATTAATCCTACCTGTATATTTTCCCAATTAATAAAGGAACAGGCTATTGTAAAATGTAGGTGACAAAAACACTGCTTGAACAGTAAGACTACCAGTACCTGGCAGTCTTGCTATGTACATTGTATAGTTCCAGTCAGAGCAAGGTGCGTGATTAGCCTAATAAGGCTTTACCTGATGTTCAATTCTTTATTTCGAAGGCGGGGCTAATTATCAAGCATGGGCTTATTAAAGGTAATATAGGATAGTGATAAACAATGGGATGGAGTTGATTTATTACTTTTACAAATTCATGTGTAGCGGAACTGGACTGGGTTGATCGCCTGCAACCAAGTAACTCAATTGGTTAGAGCGTCCGTTTAGAGTTCCGAGGGTCCCGGGTTCAAACCCCGGTCTGGCTGTGTATTTCTTTTTCACCTGTTACAATATTAAAGCATGAAATGGAAAGTTTGTTTGATACAAAATCTCATCTAACATATAAATAAAGTAAAGCACCAGTTTTATAGGTGTATTGATATCCTTATAAACATTTTTTGAAAAGCAGGTATTATTTTGAACTTCCTATACATGTAAATGTTTCACAGCAGGAGAGATTGAAGGTACAACACTAAAGTCATTGTGTTTACAGAAGGAGAGATTAAAGGGAAGAGGTACAGAATCTGACGAGAGTCTACAACGGAGGCTGGATACAGCGAAGGAGGCACTCGACTATGGTTTGTATATAGGGCTGGAATAAAAGATAGAAACATAGTATTCCATACAGATTCCAACGGTATGATATCTGTATGTTGTCTTGGGCACAACATTTGTATCTGATGATTTGATGTAAATTTCATGTTACAGTTTGTATTATCCCATTGTGATGCAGTGGTAGGGGGAGCATATTGTTCTGTTCTGACAAAGTTTCACGTTTTGTGAAGTGTGACTGTCAGTTCATAATACTGCCTTTTGATGATATTGGGGATATAGTGCTCTCTTCTCTAGCAGTATTTTATCGAGGTTGATATAAAATTAAATCAACCTCATCAAAATGCTATAATTGTACCGGTATTACATAATCTATTGCTAAAATGTGAGATAACGTAACATATTAAAGTAGTAGGGGTATAAGTAGGATATGAAACTTGAAATGATAAAAGCATCTGTCACAATCTGTTTGTACTTTCCTAAAGTTTTAGGTGACAGAGTGGCATAGGGGAAATTTTCATTACTGCTTCTCATTTAGAAACTCTTCTGTTTAAAATACATAGAAGCAGAAACTCTCTCTGCAGGTATTCCATTTTGATAGAGTATTATTCTCATTTGAAGTACATGTATTGTCACTTTCCTTTCAGCCGATGAGGAGGGTGCATATGATTATGTGATAGTAAACGACAACATAGATACAGCTTACGAGCAGCTGAGGGCAGTAGTGAAAGATGTAAGTATCAATGTAGGTTTCATCATATTCCAACTCCAGTTACTCTCAAAGTAATTCTCTAAACTGTTGACTCAATAATTTTGATAACTTGTGTGGGTTTTTAATTGTCAGAAGATCTAGCACTGTCTTCCAGCTTGTGAATGTGTGAATGTGTGTGTGTGTGGATAATTTATCCCACTTATGAGAGGGAAATTTCTCCATGTTTGGTGTTTTAAAAGACATGTTTAAAGTGTGTTATCTATATTATGTTGATGGTTTTCTTTTATTTAGAGATCCCTGTCCCACTGCACTGCAGTTTTTAGTATGTACAGTAACCTCCCCTTAATTTCATTTTGGATATAACTGTAGCACTGAGGTCCAGGGTTCGAATCCAAGTCTGGCTCTGCTAAATTTAACACTATCAGAACATTAATGTTGATTATATTTTGTTCATTTCATTTTGATTATTTTTCATTAAACTCCCACAAGGTATGGTTTTATTTTCATAATTGATTTATCAAAGTTGTAGCCATGCTATAAAATCTGTTTCTATTGAATAGTTGCAGTTTTGGGCTGTGGTACGGGGATCCTTAACATATTAAATCATGTCAGTCATGTCTTTTACCTTCATATGCATTTTCTCATAGTTACTCTAGCGTTACATACTCTACACACACACATTTTTTTATTTCTTCACTCATTCAACCCTGAATTTTGTAATGAACTATTCCAACTTTTGAATTGGAAGAGTTCAAATGTGTTTTCGGGTGTGAATGTGTTAAATAATACAGAGGTCTTTTAAGTTTATCCTTACCAAAAATCATAAAAATCAGCCACAAATACCCTGGTTATCATGAAAGAGACCAAAAAGTTTTGGACACAATGGTCCTGAATTATGTTTTTTATTTAACAGTGTCATTATTTACTTGCAGGATGTTGAGAAGATGAGAAAGGAAAGATGAAAACCTGGGATGTAGATTAATCTATAGATGTTGTCAAGATGAAAACGGAATGACTGACGGCTAATATTTAAAGCATATAGTACTATTTTAATTAAGACTTTTTATAAGATTGAATTCTGGCAGGCAAGAATTTTGGACATTTCCTGGTCTGGGCTGTTTTATTTTCCTATCAGTTTATCTTTTGTTATAGTTTATTTGTTAACATTTGTATATGTTTCAAATTTTATAAGGTCTGGCTTATTTTCAGCATTTGCTCTAAGCTTTTCTTAATCTGTTCCAGCTGAATCTTACAGTTGTAATATTTGTAATGAAATTATTTTAGAGAAACATTATACCAAAAAATGAAATTAACCCAACTAAAAAAAAAAAAAAAATGCATCCTAACTTTCACATTTCTATTTTGGCCCCAAAATAAATACATGTTAATAAACTTAATTGAACAGAATCTCCTGTGGATATATATCACAACTAGTGTGGAAAACATGTCGGAACGTTGTGAATCATTCATTATATTAAATCATAATTAATATTCAAATTTTGTTACAAATGATATTGATTTTTTCATCACCTTGACAGTGTGCGTTTCAGAAGATAAATGCCACCCACTGACTTAAAAATATATTTTGTTGCATAACATATTGATAAACTTAAGCAAATATATTCAAAAGTTATAAAATATAAATATGTAATGCATTTCTTATTGATTGCTCTATATGACCCTACAAAAATACATGGAAAATCTGTGTCTAGTTTATATTTTTTTTGTTTTGGAGCCATTGAAAATTCAGCAGCTATTTTTTTCTTTAAATATACAGTTGAATCTAGATTAAAACTTAGATATTTAGGATACCCTGGCAGATAATTTCTTCTATGTATTTTAGATATGACTTACCCTTATTTTTCAACATATCTGTCTAGGAGTTTTGTTGACAATCAATTCAAAGATGATCTCATCAAGTCTCAGAAGTCCTTCACCTCACTGACAGTAATAGATTATATTATTCTTCTCTTTATCTTCAATATATTTCATTTTACAACGAGAACATGTCTGATGTTGGATTTAGGTGCTTACTCAGGAATTTTCTTTATATTCTCCTGTCATCATCAATATCATCAATATGATCATACCAGTTGTGGTAGTTGTTCCGCTATATACATGTATTTGTCTTGGTAAATATTCACCATCCGTTTAAAGTCACAAACACTGCCTTTCCATATGAAAACTGTATATTTTGTTGGATCTTTGTTAGCTCCGATACTTTTAATTTTTGGAGATAAAAATATAGCCTGAAACAACGATTATCTGTTCCTAAGTGAAGGGGAGTCTGACAGAAAGGAGTTATAAGGGTTGTATAGTTATTACTTACACTCCCTATCTGTGAGAGTGGTGGCCATGCTTTCTTTACTTGAATGTGAAAAGCATTTTCATAGGAGGTTTTTTTTGTTGAAAAAAATTGTCAAAATATTTTGTGATGTCATATTTAAATTAAAATGTCATTGTGACATCTTGATTCACAGAGAATTTCTTCTCTGTCAGAACTTTGGAACCAAGAGTAATAAACTGCATTCCTGATACACATGTATTACTAGTAGTAAAATCAGATTCCCCAATGAGTAGCGGTTGGTTATCATGTTCAACAAACCATCCTAAAGTTATTTTTCAAATTGTGAAAAAGACGTTTGGTGAACGTTGTGCATGTATTCATTTGAATATTAACTAACTCAAATTAGATAAACATGATAATCAACCACCACTCATCCGGGAACTTCTTTAGACCTATGAACATGTATGTGCATAGAAGTGAAGCAATCTTTATATTTTTTTCATATATTTATGTATATGTATTTGTGCATGCAACGCTCATGCAAAATTTCAGTGGATTTCCCAGATATCTTTTAATATCGCCCATTATAATTTACTGGTCTCTGTTCGGTGGAACATGGTATGTGACTTTTGAAATGTACAAAATTATGAAACAAAATATCAATTTGTGTTAATATTTTTTTTATATATTTTTTTTTTTTTAACAAGTGGTTTGTTAAAATATTGACTACCTAATTTCTAATTTTTAGTGCTATATATATATATACATGATGTATTACCTAACGGAAAGATAGCCATGATGTAGGATCTGGGTGTTTCCCACTATATCCCTATTGAGGACACATGCATTTCAAATATCCCAACTATATCCCTAGTCAGGACACATTTTGAACATCCCCACTATATCCCTAGTGAGGACACATTTTGAACATCCCCACTATATCCCTAGTGAGGACACATTTTGAGTATCCCCACTCATGTCCCTAGGGAGGACACGTTTTGAATATCCTCTCTCCATCATCGCCTTGCCTGATATACATTTGTGGACAATTTGACATGAATTGTTACTTTGTTGTGTTGAACAATCTACTCTGCTCAATTTTAAAACAGATATTACCTTTTTCAGAATTTTTACCGCAACAGGATTAAATAGCTATATTTGTATAATTTACCATTTATTCCTAGGTAAACTGACTTTAACCCAGCATGATAGTATTTACACTCCATGGACACAGATGTTATACAACATTATCATATTGTCCTACACATTTTTGTACGATACCATTAGTTTGACATACCATACAGATGTTGTGATGAAATGTTAATCAATATGATGCAAAGCTTTCTGTATTTTGAACAATTTTGTCCTGCAGTTTTCTTCCCCTATTTGATGTATTTGATTAAATCGTAGATCATGTACATTTAACCTAATTTACCATGGAACCTTGGATGTCTATTTACTTGATAATGTACGGGATAATTTGGTTTGTATTATGATGGAACCACAATTTTTCTACCTCAGGGCGACAAAATTATAGCAATTTTTGACATGCTATGCCTCAGAGAGTTTATGTTACCGTGTATAATCTGGTATCTATTTTGAAAGTTCTATCGAAATAAAGATTAACTGCAGTCTGTAGTGGCTGGGATATCAAGGAGTTTTTAACTCATTGACCCCTGAAGTTTCATAATGAATTATTCCAACCTTTGAATTGGAAGGGTTCAAATGTGTCTTCAGGGGTGAAGTAGTTAAAGGTCCTGCTCTTCCTCCCAGAGATGTCATTATTCATAAACAAGAAATATCTCTTAAGGACAGACGGCATTTTTTGGTTTATGAGAATTTAGATCTTGCACTTTAAAATGTCATTTCATATTTTGTGTTCCCGTTCCAATGTTCAAATCACTTCAATTTATACAATAATGCTCCTCAATATCTCCGTAAATGTCAGTATGATGCATACTGTACACCGATGTTTTATTTAAAATCTGGAAAGTAGAATATCTTGAGCTGTTCTTTAATCTGAAATGTACTGAGACTCATATTGTGATATAATATATGGAATACATGATAATTTATCAGATTAAGCCCATGTTTGGTTTAATGTACTTTTTTTTTACCATTTTTGGAAATAAGCTTGTGTGTATTTTTTATAGTCAAATTCATTAGAATCTGGTTGCAATATTTCAAACATTTTTATTGAGTTTGAATTTAAATCTTGTGTTGAGACTGTGGGAGATTAAGTGGTCTCAATGTCAATGAGAGATTAAGTTTGAGCTGAGTCTCATATCTTTGGGAAATTAAGTGTGAGGTAAGTCCCTGTTTTAAGTCTATGGGATATTCAGTTAGATCTTCAGTTTCTTTTTTAAGTCTGTGGAAGATTGAGTTTGAGGTAAATCTATAGATGTTTAAGCCAAGTCTATGTTGAGTTTAAATGTGAGTCTGTGTAAAGTCTATAAGTGATTTAGTTTGGTTTGACCTCGGCTACCGACTCCTAGTGTTGGCGATATTGGGGTCAGTACCAGTACTTTCTAAGAACAAAGCCTGAAGGGTTTATCACGTGTATAGTAACGACTTGTAAGTGGTTAGAAAACAATAGACTGACAGTAGTGTAGTTACTTGGTTGTTGGTATGATGGCCAGATTTCACTCAACATTTCATAGAAATGGCAATTGCAATATTATCCGTTTTGTGCATTTACTGATATTGACTTTTACAAAATGCATTTGATTCCATTTCATTGCTCCATATATCTTCAGATATGTCTGTTGTGATTTTGTTTAGAGGCTAATTAAGAATTGCTTATAGAAGTCATATATATGTATTGCATTTAGTAGTATATCAAGTATATCATTCTAAATTATCCAAAAAGAAAGTGTTTTTTTTTAATGTACTCAAAGAGGAATCAATTAATGAAATGGATATGATACATAAACTGGTGTGGACTGCGATATTTAGCCTACAACTAGTTACGGAATAATATTTACAAACATTCAGGACAACAAAATGTCCCAGGAAGTGTATTGTACCTTACTTTTATCGATGTGTATAAAATCTTCAAAATTTCCACCAATCAATACCAGTATTGATAAGACCAAACCCTCAAGTGGATGTCTCAAATTCTAGTATTAATAATTTTGAAACATGATTTCTTTGAAAGTATTTGCTTTTTCGGGCCGAACGTAACATTTCAGTTTAATTTTTGTATTGCCTTTGAAGTAACTGTGTATAATTTAGTTTATTTTTTTATGAAGTATATCCAACAATAAATAACATAATGTTATTATACTTTATGCATTCTGCTTGTACAACTGTTAAATCTATCGTAGTTACTTATGTATTTATACTTATAAATGTGGTGGTCCTGTTTAATAAACTATATGATCATCAAATGAGTGTTTTTTTATCCATCATTTAAATAGCCTTCTCCCATCTCTATGTATGAAAGATTAATAAAATCTTTTACCTGTAACTGAGCAAGATCGGGTTATCTCAGTCGAGGGTTAAAATTCTGTAACAAAATCCCAACCGAGGTGTAAGCCAGAATCTTAGTACGAGGTGGGAATAACCCGATCTAGCTCAGTTGCAGGTAAAAAAAATATTCTCGCACCTTTTAGTTCGAAAAGAACTATTCAATTTTGCTAAAAACTACAAGTATTCCGCCTTGGGCCTCAAATGATAATGACCTCTTCACTACTAAAGCTACATTTGAATGCTTCCGCGTAAAAATGTAGTCCATCCTTAAATATATTATAGAACAACGTATTTTACAGTGTAGATTATATTTTATCTACAACATCAAATATCTAACAACATCAAAACTATACATATAACGACAAAACAGAACATTTATAATGCAAATTGTCAATTTCAAGCAGTTAACACGTAGATGAATACATCGCAGTGTAAAATTTCCGCGAAATGACGCGTAAAGGTACCAGACAGATCGGACGAGATAGAAAAATCTAGCATGGGGTATGACGTTGGATATCTCTGTCTGAGGTGCGAGAAACATGTGTCCCATGTGAAACAACCCTGTTGGATTAATAGAATTACTCAACCCCTTGGGGCTGAGATAGTGGATTCTCTCATTTCCGTGTGTGTCGGATAGAGCTGTCCAGGGCAAGAAAGGGGTGTAAGCAAATTTCTATCTTACACCCCATTTCACGTGACATGACGTCACAATGTCTCAACAATGATGTGACGTCACAAACTTGAAAACTCTGATGCCGCAATCTGGAAATTGGCGACATGATGAAATTAAAAACTTTACGATATATTTATTGTACATGTTAGAAAGATGAGATAAATTTTTCTGCGCAATATTTGTTTGCAGTTTTGTTAAAAATTTATTTGTTTAAAATGTAGCCAGTGCAAATGCATTTTCATGGTTTTTGAGTTTATACAGGTAGTTGGAATGAGAAAAAAAACCTCTTTCATGCCCAGGGGTGTAGGATAGGGAAATTCCACCCTCGGAATTTAAAAATTTGACAAAACCCCTGACAAAGCCTAAGGTTTTACCAAATTTGAAAACCCCTCGGGTGGAATTTCTCTATCCTACACCCCTGGACATGAACAAGAGTCTTATATTCTCAACCCACGGGGGAAGATTCTTAAGTTGTCATTGTATTGTTGACGTGATGTCAAACAATGGTGATGATTAGGAGATATCCTGTCTCAACTCTAGAGCGAGACTAATAGAATCATTCACCCCCTTGGGGGTGAGACAGGGTAACCTCAACCCGAGGGTTGAGATCACACTGTCTCACTCCCAAGGGGGTGAATGATTTTTTTCTCTTACCCTGTTTACCCTTGTATTTTATATAGACATTACATCAATGCAAGACAATGTTGATGTGATGCGGCTGAATTGTCGACGTGACGCCATTGTATTGTTGCCGTGACGTCATGGTATTGTTGCTATGACATCATACAATTGTTGAGAACGTGCAAAGAACACGTCAAGCTTGTCTCAACCCTAGGGTGAGATAAGAAAATCTCACACCGGTAAAATGGTGGATATCCCTGTCCAGGGTAAGAGAAAAGGATATCTTTCACCTGGAAAAGTGTGAACTATTTGTTGCCTTGTAATTCTACTGTGTTTTGTGATGAAGCTTCCTTCACATTAGTTAACATCAACCCCCAGCAGACATTAACAGTGAAGGCCGGACAAATTCATGACTATTTATTCACAAAGTGATCATTATATTATACAAAGGAATATTGGTCTATTCCATTAGTCCACATCCAACATGTTTATACTGATAGGTACCTGGTAACTACTTAGATTGTTTACTTCACACACAAAACGTAGTCTTATCACACATGAATGTTTTTATGTAAACTGATCTTATCACAAACTGTCTCCTTACTTACACTTTATCATCCATATAGTAATTTCTTTCGCTGCAAACACTAGAGACTATAAAGATATAGGTAATCAGCTCTCTGTAGAACGCTCCTCTCCACATTCAAAGCGTGCAAACTTGTTCACTGTGGCCCTGTTTTCTTTTAGGAACTCTCCAACTACCATTTCTGGGTTGTAGAGGAATTCCTGAAACACGAGTCTAGTTTCGTCCTCATTAATTTTACTAGACGTTTCTTCCAAGTCATTTTCATAATCACTGTCATCGCTTTCATTGTCGGAGTCTTTTGGAGAATTATCCTCTTTGTCTGCTTGAAGTTTGTCATCAGTATCAGCTAGAG